AGGTAATTCTGTCCTGCATTGTGTCATTTTTGAAGTAAAATGGGTACATACAATAGAGCTCCAGGGAAACCATCCTCTGGTGGCTGTGCTGCTCTTCTAGTGAATCCTTCAGATCTTCTGATTTCATACTATGTGCATAGTTTAAAGGTGGGAGTGTGTGGTTTGCCTTACACAGATTACTCTGAGAGGAAACAATAAGTAGCTGTACCTACCCTGCACTTCCCAAATATATACCCACAACAGGGAGAGAACCTGGCTTCACAAGATCTTGCCAGTGTTCCCTTCAATGAGGCTTCAGGGCTAGCACTGAGGATGTGTGCAGGCAGAAACCTCCTGCTTCCATAGGAACCAGTTTTATTATTTTCTTTGCCTACCACAGGGTCTTTTCCATCCCAGTGAAAGAAGGAGATGAACTCTACTAGTTCTACTAATTAGGTTAGGGGATGCAGTCCACCCCTTGGGTCAGGGTGTGCCATGGTGTCCGACTCATGCTGGGGTGCAGAGAACCTACAAATTCATTTCATGCAACATGAGCCATGCCCAGGCTCATAGCATTCTGTAGGGATTCCCCACAGACATGGCAGGGAGGAGAAGCTGTGGTAAAGAATTGCAATTTGTATTTTTTTGTATTTTCTGCATCTGCAGCTCTCACATGGGATAATGTAACCACCTAGCTGTGATCTCAGCAGCCCTTCCTGTCTACAAGGGTTTGGTCTGTGATGGGATAAAGGTTTGCTTTATTGTCACTTTAAATGTGAACATGTTTTCCCTTCTTTGGATACAGGATCTCGATAATCTGATTCAGGATATGGACAGTGATGAAAACAAGGTAAGTAGAAGTACAGTAGAGAAACTTCTTTAGCAAGAGCTAAACAGTCCAGTCTTGTCTGCAGCCTACAGGCTCTCCTTCACAGTCTTCCTTCTCATCCTCATGCAAGCCAGATTTTTGAAGGCTGCTTCTTAGATTGTAGAAATCACAGTGAATTCCTCAAGGCCATAGTGTTTGTGACTGTAGAGCTGTGACATGAAGGTACCAATCGATCATCTCCCATTTAGCTCCTTGAGAGTCCTCAGAGTGGGGGCTAGGCATGTGTTACAGTGGGAGGCAAAGTGTTTCAGAGAGACACATTGGTGGGTTTGTAATTCAACTTTTCACATAGGTGCATGTCAGTTTCTAGTAATGGCAGACACCTAGTGATCGTTTCAGGATTATACTATTTCTATGGTGATTGAGAGGTAAATGATAAAACTTCTCCAATTCTGATATACTATTTCTCTTAGAAGGAAGTAAGGCCTAAACTACTTTGTTTCTTTGCTACCTTTCACACCAGCCACCCAAGAGAGTCACACATAAATATGTGAACTGTAGGTGTATGTTTATAGATGTGGCTGTGGCTCAGCATTTGTGGATTGTTGTAGATCCTGAGTGGCTTAGCTGGGAATAAAATCCGAAGATTTGTGACTGTCCTCTCTCCTACTCCAACTGACAAACTCACTGTTGTAGGTAGATTGAAAAATCGGCTTTTAATTCTGCCTTTCTGTAAGATCTATTACTGAAGGATGGGAGCTGTTCTAGGACCAGCAATGGAAGCAAATGACAAGTTTAGACTCTTTGCTCTGAGGACATGGTAAATCAATGCACAAGATAGGATTCCTGATGCTAATTCCATGGTCATACAGTAAAGGAGTTTTTGCAGGACACAAACTTAATAAAATACAACTGTCAATCCACCTTTTTCATTGGGATCTGCTCATGCTGTGCTCTGATAAATAACATACTACCACCTTGTACTACACCCTTCTGAACTGGGTATTTCCCATGAATCCTTGCTTAAGCTTGTCCAGTTAGCTTATTACAGCTTTCTATCCAAGTTCTGACTGCCCCTTCTGCTTCAGATCCAGGCCTACGTGATGTGCAACAAGCTGCGCTCTGCGTATCTGGTGTCGGTGAGACAGGAGAAGAGCAGAGCAGTGCAGCTGGTGCAGCAGGTGCGGCAGCTGGCCGAGAGCAGCGGCGATGACGTTGTGAAGGCAATCTGTGCCCAGTGGCTGTCAGTGCACCAGCCCAAGATGAGAAATCGCCTTCCCCAGGGCGCTAGGAAGTAATAAGTAATTGACATTCGCTGTCAGACAGAAGGAGAAGGCTTCAAGACAGCTTAAAGGTGTCTCGTTCAATCTCTTGGTAAAACAGTAGTCTCTTGACTGATGTTGATGGCAAATGGATGCTGCTAATGTGCCTCTGGTGAAGGGAAAAGAACTAACTTGCAAGTGCCAGTCCTGTATTTTGACAAACAGTCACTACCTCAGGGTGTTTTTTGGCTCTCTTTTTGATGGAAAGGGGCAGTTTCAAACTGAACAAGCCAGAATTCAGGTGTATGGAAGAGAGCACTTTTGATTTTGGTTTTTGTTGGGTTTTATTTTTTGGAGGGTTGATATTTTTTGAAAAGCACTGAATTTAATAATATGTCATTTATTTTTAATCCAGAAAACATATGTAGAGAGGACAGAAAGGTCTTATCAACTCAATGTAGCCTAGAGTATAAACTTCTTGTGATTACAGGTTTCCTGTAAAATTTTTCAAGATTGGAGAGATCTGTTACAAAGACTAAAATGTAGAGAATTTTTTTAAGCCTCTCTAAAACCATTGCTACCTTTTTTTAATCCCCGCCCCACTAGTACAATGTACCCAGTTTCTTTAGTTTGTTTGAAAAGATAGGAACTGATTCTTCATGGCAGGTTTCTACTTAGCAGTCACACTGTGTGATGTGTGCCATATATGTGGCACTTGAGCCCTTACTAGATGAATGAAGTTATAAAGGGCATGTCCTGTAAGGGGAGCACAAAGGGAAAATAAGCCTTGAAAATAGTTGAAAAGTCACATACCTCTTTCTTTGCTGTAGTAATACCCAATAAATTGTTGTGATGCAGCTTTATGACTAAGTAGTTGACAGTAAACTTCCACAGTTTTTCATCAGGTATAGCAGAAAATATGGATAGGGCAAGGTGTGGTAGAATTCAGCAGGTGGTCTGTATCCCTGTCACACAGGGATTAATTTATTTATTACCAAGGTAATCTGTTCCTGTCAAGTGCAATAGAACACCAAACTAGACATAATGTATTGACAGGTTTTGCTCTGGAAGTGTTGGGTTAATCAGTTCTACAAAAAACAGCAGTGATCTTTGTGTTCAGGGATGCTGAAAAAAAGCAGCTGCTTCTCTCCTACTGTGACTGGGACATGAGAAATTGGCAGAAGCATAGTAGACAGCAGTAGGCCCTTCAAAAAAAACACAAAGCAAACCATGGTGTTCCACAAGAGTTTGCATTTGCTGTTTACATATATTTCAGCACAAGTAGGAAAACTAACTCACTTTTTTGTTAAAAAGTCATTTACTTCAAAAGAAACAGGTTTTCTAAAGTGTAATACAAACTGTAAATAGTTTTAGTACATTAAATAATTGAGACTGTCAGGTAAGAGCTTTGCACTATCCCCAAGCTCACTGTACTGACCAAACAGACTTCCATGGTATTGGAAATGATTTGGCCCATCTTCTTCGGGGTTTCGTAAGCAGTGTCCCACTGGTACAAACACCTCTTTGGAGGTGTTCTGCTCACTAGAGCAGGACTAAGAAATGTCTCAGAGCAAAGCAGTCAGAAATGACCACCTGCAGCTTTCAGAATCCCCTGAGCAGATTTGCATTATCTCATTAGTGAGCAGTACTAATGAAAGCTTTTGTTTCCTTGGCAAGACTGACCTAGCTTTCCATCGGCTTACAGCCATTGGGATAATCCTAAAACGTGACACTACCTATGTCTTCAGTCATTTCTAAATCTCTAATTATGGGGAGGAGGTTTTACTGTTTGTGGGTATCCAGATCTGCATTGTTGTAATACCTACTTTTCTGCTGAAGTTCCTTCAGCTGTATGGAGCACAGAGTGGAGTTTGCCATGCAGACCTGTCAGTTCTGTATTTGCCTTTCTTCCTGACCTCTTTGCACTGTACCTGATGCACTTTATATAGTGTTTGTTGTAATTTGATGTTCTTAACCTGGAATTGTAGGGATCATCCTCATACCAGCAGAACTGGAATTTTGATCCTGACTAACTGCCTTGTGTCACGAATAGTGCAATTATCAAGGGGCTTTGAATTTTTGAGCAGCAAAAAAGGATTGAATACTGCCAGTTAAAAAGAACTTCTCTATTGATGACCAAGGTTTGTTTACAATGAAAAAAGAGAATAAAGTATTATGACTGTTCATGTATTTTGTTTACACTTTATCTCACCATAGTTGGGATTTTCTTTCTAGATCTTCACTGCTTTTGGCTATGCATAGCAGAGTAATTAGAAGGGGGATAATTGTTCTGTCATGCCAAATCTGTCTGCTACAGTGTCCTCAACATTTAGATCAATTTGAACGTCACATCTTTAGAAGACCTCCCTGTAGCTAGGTAGGTAGTTGGGCCTCATAAAATGTACTCAGCAATCCTCTTTGGAGAGCTTTCCTGGTTAATCTTACTCTCCCTTACAAGCCTCCCTTTGACACAGCTAAATGAGCTTTAGTTCCCTCATTTTTTACAGATCAGCTGAGAAGGTATAAATTAATTGCCCAAGGTCAAAAAGAGTGGGTGTCTGTCAGTGGAAATGTGTAGTTAATGTCATATATTAAATCCACAATCAGACTTCTTTGAGAAGGCATTGACCTGCAAGGGCAAAAGTATTTCACATTAGAGACACTTCCTGCTTTTCTAAAAATGGTTTCTCTTGCTCCTGAAAGAGAATGGCACACAGAGAAATACAGCCAGGCCTCCAAGGCTACATTCTACTGCTACATTGTAGTTGGCGACTTAGCTTCATAATTAGGATGAAGCATAAAGAGGAAGAAAAAAATGTAGAGTGACACAAAGGGACTTCAAAATGTTATCTGAACTGAGTTCTCTACATTAGTTAGGTGAAGACAACAGCAACACCAAGCTGATTCAACATTTCTGAAAGAAGATACTGTCTCCTGTTGTAAAAGGAAAATGGCTTTATTTAGTATTGCTCGAGGTAGCACAGGGCTGCTCTGCATAGATAGCATCCAGACAGAAAGAATTACAGGTAGCATTTGTTTCCCAAAACTGGCAGTTAGTCACAGTGGCATGCTCATAGTCAAATCCAAAAACTTCCAGACTTTTCAGAAGCAGAAGATAATCCTAGGAGCTGTGGCACTTGGTTTCTGACTGCTTAACTCTTTCAGAAATAATCTCTGATTATGGATCACACTCTAGCAGTTTGCACCAAAGCAGCACTAGAGTTCCAAGGGAGCAGTCCGGTCACTACGTGGGCTGCCCCAGCTGCCTTGTGGAACTGTGTGGTCCTGCAGGGGCAGCCTTGGTCAGCCAAGGCCAGGGACTGCTGGGCAGACAAATGTAAGGATTTCTGTGCAAGCCTTACCTTCCTGCCCTGTAGCTAGCTTGACCTTAATACCAAGACAGTCCTGACTTCTGCTTCAGCTGTTTAGCTCTAGGTAGTTTAGTGTCACTTAAAGCTAAAGTCTCAGCTGATGTTTAATATTTTTGTTAACGTGGTTGAGATGTTGTTTACTCCTTCTGCTCTCTTTTCTAGGTTCTAAAGTCATTTAAAGTGCAGCTGGGGGTTTATTGTCACAACTTTTACACCATCTTTGCCCAATGTTTCTCAGGAGTGTTGTTGATTTTTAAAATAAGGTAACTTGACCATGCACAATTGTGGCACTCCTGCGGCTTTTAACCTTGCAGTCACCTGCACTGAGACCTGGGTGCCAACCCTCAAGTTAACTTACTACAATCAGTGGGCATTTAGGGCCAAGATACTTCAGTGGCTATGGTCCAGCTTCTTACAGAGAAAAATGATTCCACTGAAAAACTTTACCTAATGCTTGGCACCAAAAGGCCAGAACTTGTTTCAGTGTGCTAGAGAGCATTTGTATTGCATTTACTTACCAGAAAATCTAATATCCTAAAGTACTTTCACTCTCTCACGTCAAAGAGTAGGAACTGAAAATAACCTCACAGATCATAAGTTTAGAGTCCTACCTTTTCACTATTGCTGTTAGGGGGAGAGGGGGGAACCAACAACCAACTAAATTTTATTTAAGTTAATTCTTTGTTACTTCACAATCTAAACCTAAGACTGCAGCCTCCCTTTCTATTCTAAAGCCACAGAAAAACAGCCTCTGGCTGTTGTGTGAGATACCAAGCAAAGCTCACTCCCTGCATTGGTGCTCTAATTCTCCAGCTAGGAAAGGGGACTGATTGCTTACAAATCTCAATCCTTAAGTGTACTAGTCCAGAAATTCAAATTAGGTTGTGCCCACCGAGCCATCACCAGGGCAGCTGAAGTATCAGCATACTACTCTTGAGTTTTCTCAGCAGTGCTCTTCCTGGGAGAAGCATCGCTGGACTCAGCCAGGTACACACTTGAGGTCTGTGCTGCTCAGTCCCACTGGATGCCAAGGAGCTCACAGCTCACACTCCAGAGCTTCTTTGCTGTCTCATCATCCCGACCACGTGGAGATACATATGCTGGCTGGCAATCACTGTAAGAGAATCATTCTTTTATTCTTTTCAAGTCAAAGATCTCTTCGTTAGCACACTGAAATGTCTCTATGAAGATAATGGAATTGCTTTCTATCAGCTTAATTTGAGACCAATTGAAAAACAGTGGGAGGCTGTCCTGCAGAAGAGCAAGGGTTGGTGCTAAGGCACCCTTAGAAAGCTTTCTTTCCAACTAGGTGGGGAAGAATCTCTCCCACTGGCACCAAGAACTGACAAGCAAGTCCAGCTCTATCTGTTTTCTCAACTCTTTAACGGGCCTCTTTAGTGTACATTCTCATTACTACCACTATAAAGGGCTATAAACTCTAACCAAGCTTCTTCAGGAGCAACTTTTGTAGCAACACTACAAAAAACCCACTCAAACAGCTCTTTATTCTAAACTATTTATCCCATCCTATTTCTCCCACTATATGCCCGAGAATAATAACACTGTAATAACTATGTATGGTTACTCTCTTTTGCATTATCCTCTGAACTGTGGCTCCTTTCTTCTCAGCTCCTGCATTCAGACAGGACTCTGTCTGGACTAGAGATCCTGTGTTCTCATCTGCAATGCTAGCTGCTGCAATAAGTTTGGAGTTTACAAGCTCAGAGGAAATGGCATCTTATAAGGTTTCCATTCAGCCTAGTGGTTTTAGAGCTCCAAGTGCAGTCTTTGATGTTCCTGAAATTGTCTCACTGTGGCATGCAAATTCTTAATGTCTACACTTGTGCTTCATATTCTATTGCCTGCAAAGTGAAAAGGACTTTAGGCCAGTTCAGTGTAAATTGTGAATTACTGCTGGAGCTACTAATTTCCCACCAAGTCTAAAACTCCCTTTTTTGAGAGTTTAAAATCCACCAAAGTTTTCTCTACTCCAGCACATAAATGCTATATTTTTATCCTGGGACAGGCCATCTTCCCTGGATGACTAAGACATCTATTTATATATTCCAGTCTCATTAAGATGGTACAAACTTCCCAGTGAAGATCAGGCAAAGTCATTACAGAGACTAATCTGGTCACAAATCACAAGAGGAAAGCCTTGCAAAGACACAAAGGCTCCAACTGCATCTGGTGGCAGGAGGAAGAAAGAACGACAAATTTTCACATAAATTGCCCCAAACCCAGTATTGTTACAGTGCTCTACACCTAAGGGGAAGCTGACAGACATATCTGCATAAATCTGTCCAAATGGCAGTCTTCAATTCTAGGATGATGATGATGACCTGGAACTGTTCTGGGCTGCAGTTTTGGTGAGGGGAAAAGACATGACTGTGCAGGGTCCTGGAGTCAGTCAAAAAGTCAAGGAAAAACAGGTTTTGTAGTGGGAGCTACACAAGACCTTTGGCAGGACAGAGGACAAGCATCCCAGCAGGAGCCCCTCCCAGCTGGTGTGTCTGTCACACTGGAGAATCAAGTCATTTTGTCACATGCCAGACCTGAAAATCTTAACCTCCTAGCCCTACAGCTCCATCAGCCCTCACAGCTCCCTGAGAAACAGAGGCCCCTTCTGCTCTAGTGGGGTCAAACTACAAAGAGAACTCAAGTGGTCTTCCCAGGACTGACTCAAGTGACCTCATTAACTAAACAGTTCTACTGAAAAGTGATTTTCCCAAGTCTCAGGCAGATCAGCATTTGAGCTTTGAGCATGTGACAGACATTCCTGCACTTTGAGTACATTGATATTCCTAGCACTTAAGGACCTGCTATTGTGTAAAGTGCTGCACAGGTCAGGGATTTCTTCTAACACGATACGCATTGTAACAGATCTGGAAGAGGTAATGCTCTAGCATGTCTCCCTCAGTCTTACCAGACAGCCTCTCACCTGGTCCCTTCTTAATGAAGAGTGACAGTAAATCTCATACTTCCCAGCAAACAAGGTTGCCTTTCACAATGTATCACTTCATCAGCTTTCACCCACCTGAAATACTGTCCTGTCACAGAGTCTAGCTCCTCAGCTACTGCACAGTAGACACTGGTCTGAGCTCCTTCCCATGGTGTCTTCAAGAAAAAGGAGAACATCTTCCACAGCCAAGTCATTACAAATGAGTGCCGGACCAGCTCAGAGTAGACAGAACCAGGATGGAGAGCATTCACTGTGACTTGAGTACCTATGGCAAAATAAAGTACTCCAGGACAAACCTGCAGGTACCAGTGTCTTTGAAAGAAAGGGTAATATACTCCTCAATTCTACTTGCAACTATTCTATAACTTAAGGGAGGAGTCCAGACTTGGATACAGGGAGAGTAAGAAAGTGAAGTCCTCTGTAGTTGCTGCTTGCCAGATGTGATGGATACACTTCACCTCTTAACCCAACCAGCAATAGTTTGGTACAGGCTCCAAAGAAGGTAAAGGTCTGAGCCATAACTGGGCTGAGAACTCCTCTAGGAAACCTTTAAACAGCAGAGTGACACAGTGAGCATCAATATACATGAGCTTGCACCACCCATCATGCAGTTCACACATGAGCAGCATGCGGTTTTTCCAAGACAATTATCAAAAAACAAAGTTTTGAGTACAGTAACTCACATGCATACCTTTCTCACTGTATGCATTTTGACTAAGGAAACATTGCTAATCCATTGAGCTACTCAGTAATAATAATTACAAACTTTGTATAGATAATTCCATTAGACATGTATCATTGTCAATGTCTGAGACTAAGACTGGACACCGAGGCTCCCTAAGGAGTTTAGGAAGCAAGGGGGCCCACTCTGAACCTTGTGACTCAACAGGAGGGTCTTCCTTACCCTTTCTGTTTCTGGTCCCTGTGTGAGTCATTCTGACTTGGTTTAACTCATTTTTCCTTTGTACATTCCTACCATATAGTAAGTAATAGAGTGAACCTTGCCACCAAACTCTGGTAAGTCAAACTTTTATGACATCATGTTTAAACAACTTTTGCTAATATCTTTGATGGTAATTCTTTAGGCAGTCACTGGAGCATTCCCTGTTCCCTTCTAAACACTGCAGCCACTACAAGCCTTCTGCAAAACAATGTGCTAAAGGGCCTGAGTACTAAGACAGCTGCAGTTTCGTCAGGCTTTTGAGAACATCAGCTTCTTTTGATTTACTGTAATAGTAATTGCCTAGGGGAGACACTGTTTCTGTTTTAGTAAATAACTACTTCAGTTTATGCAAAGGACTGAATGAGAGATGTGACAGATGCTGTGAATTAAGAGGCACTGTCTAGTCTTATGATGCTGTTTTACAAGCCACCAACATTTAAGGCAGTTGAGTATGCATTAGCTCTTATACTCGAGACTGCAGTTGTAGTTCAGCTCCTTCTGTTTCCAGCTTCCACCCACATACCACAATTATCTGTGTGGAGGCAGTTAGTTTTTGACAAGCACCAAAGAAAAATGAAATACATTCAACTGTGCCAAGTTACTAAACTCCTCTGTCCAGTTGTTGCAAAGACAATTAGTGCTGTAAGTCTCCTGGTTCCACAGGAGATATTTTCTTTCTGCAAAGAGCTCTCAGTGACACTTGCCTCAAACCATTCAATTTTTGCATAGCCGATTTCCAGACCTTTCTTCAATCCACTCTCCCCATCCACAGTGCTCAAAAAGCCAAGCGGAGAAGCACTCCACTTGCCTCTGGAACTTGCCTTGCAGCCTCCTGGCCAGCTCCCGGGTGAAGAGCACGTTAGCCAATTTGCTGTGACAGTAGGCGAGGCCACGGTTGTAGCTCTTCTCGCCGTGGAGATCATGGAAGCGGATTCGGCCCCCGTGGTGAGCCAGCGAGGACACGTTCACGATGCGGGCGGGGGCACACTGCTTCAGGCGCTCCAGCAGCAGGAACGTCAGGAGAAAATGACCTGGGGGGAGACAAAAGGTCATCCTTCTCTGAAGGGTTCCCCTACTTGCTTATACGTTGTATCTTACTGCTGCCCTCATTTCAAGTCCAGGGAAAAGAAGAACCCCCTGAATTAGCAGCTAAACCTTTTTTGGGCCTTCAAGTTCTGCTCCTCGTCTTCAAAAAGCTGCATTCTCATACATTTCAAAAAGTCCCAGGTAACATGTACAGATACTTACACTGGATCCACAATAGGCAAAATACATCACATGCCATCTCCACTAATCTTCCATCACTCTAACTCTGGCCTTCTATCCTTCTTCAAGAAGGAAGGATGAGGAAGAGAAAATCTGAAAACAAGATTTTCCTCTGGCATAGAGGTATGCCATACAGAAATTGGGGCTGGAAGAAGATGATCTTTAAGGTCCCTTCCAATCCAAACCACTCTGTGATTCTAAATTGAGTGCAAACATGATTCCACTGGCCTTACCAAGATGATTGACTCCCAGATGCATCTCAAAGCCATCAGCAGTCTTGGAAAAAGGGCATAACATTACCCCGGCATTATTAATGAGAATATGGAGCTCCTTCTCATCTGCAAGAAACAACAGACATCCTTAAACAGGGAAACAGAAAATGTAGGCAGACAAGAAGATAGCACGAGTCAATCAAAAAAACCCTATCATGTCTGGGCTGCAGTCACATCACTTTAAAATAAAATGATAACTCTCCTACCAGAAACTAACCCATGACCTCTGACAAGCTGCTTCTGTGAAGCACAGTACCCAACATGGTACAGAGTCTTGCAGGTCAGGGATTTGGCATTGGCTAGAAGAGCAGACAGCAGTCCTTGGTAAAGTATTCTCACTTAAAAGAAGGATCTAGAGACTGTACCTGCTAGAAATTTCTCAGCAAACTCCCGGATGGATTTCGTGTCAGCCAAGTCCAGTCTTTTCACAATGACTTGCTGGTTCCCTGTCTCAGCTTGGATTTCACTGGCTGCAGCTTCTGCCTTTGCTATGTCTCTGCAAGCAATAATCACCTTTGCACCTGCAAGAAGGGGAGGGGGAACAGCAGAACAGAAATTGAGATCCCTGGAGCACACTGGATGATCAGGGCTACAACAAGCAGGTTGACTACACAGAGAGAGTACAAACAATATATTATTTCTTTAGGTTACTGGCATCAGTCAAGAGAGCAGCTAGGAGGCACAAAGCCTTTCCTACTGCATTGTGAGCTACATTCCAGCCAAAAGATGCTTTCAGACCAGGAATATCCACATCTGAAGTGTCTCTGTTCAGATTCTCCCAGGTGAGGAGTATGTACCACTGCACTGGTATGATAGGGTTATATCTAGTCCTATAATGGGGACATCAAACCAGGAACACATAAAGTTACTTGGAATCCAGCCTGAGTAATTTCTAAATGGATTGTGAACAGGTAGTTTAATCGTCTTACCAGTTACCCAAAAAACATTTAAACCAAATTAGCCTGAAACATAAAGCACACAACAGTGGACCTACAACATTTGCCAGCTTCATACAAACAGAATCCAGTAATACCAGGATCTTCCCCAGTCCTCTTGAACCAGTTTCAGTGCAAGGCATTCATGTCTCCAGGGCATGTTTCTGGAGTTCAAGCAGTGAAACCAGTAGAGTATCTGGGGACTTGCACCTCAGTAATTAGTCTCTGAAGGAGCAAAACTTGGGCTCATCTGCAATAACTCTGGGACCCAATTCACTTAAATGTAAGCATAAACCAGTCCTCCCTTAGATCCAGGAGAGGCACTATCGGCACACAGGGATGCCCTGCTGGGGCAGGCGGCCACTTGCCTCTTCGTGCGAGGTCTCGGGCGGTTTCCTTCCCGATGCCTGTGTTGGCTCCTGTGATTATCGCCACCTTCCCCTCCAGCCTCGCCGTCGACTTACCCCGTCCTCCAGCCACATACTTCCTGCGAAGGAGGAGAGGGACGGCAGCAGTCAGCCCAGCCTGCCGGAGGGCCGGGGCCAGCCCGACTCTGGGGCTCGGCGCG